GTCGTCGACAATTCTGCGGGGGGGTCCTTCCGCACTCCCGGTTTTCGGCGGCAATTCTGCGGCGGGTCCTTCACTCGCTCCAGGACCCGCCGCTGAAGTGCCCCGAAGACCGGGAGCGCGGAAGGACCCCCTGCCGCAGAATTGTCGACGACGACCGGGAACGCGGAAGGACCCCCGCCTAGGCGCCAAAAGCCCTGGCGCCGCTCCTGACTGAGTGGGTTTCAACTGGTGCAGCTTTATTGTGGTCAGTGGATCTGTGTCAATTTATATCAGCTGATGATTTGGCCTGTAGGATCAAATCTTTTACAATGGCCAAAGCCCAAGAAAACAGGCTTTGTGCAGGTTTGCTTCATAGTGTATGGAGTGGAATCATCCCTCCCAATCCCATGGACACAAGTGTAAACACTCCTACACTCTCAGTGCTCTGGTAGCCTCCTCATAAGAACGGCCGTACCAGGTCAGATCAAAGGTCCATCTAGCCCAGTATCCTGTCTACTGACAGTGGCCAATGCTAGGTGCCCCAGCAGGAGTGGACCTAACAGGCAATGATCAAGTGATCTCTCTCCTGCCATCCATCTCCATCCTATGACAAACAGAGGCTAGGGACACCATTCCTTACCCATCCTCTTTAATAGCCATTACTGGACTTAACCACCATGAATTTATCCAGTTCTCTTTTAAACGCTGTTATCGTCCTAGCCTTCACAACCTCCTGAGGTAAGGAGTTCCACAAGTTGACTGTGGAACTCCTCAGGAATTGTGCCTCCCTGTGGTGGATTGATTGGTCGATCTGCTTAGATGCTGATCCACTGGCTATGTGCCCATTTCGCCTGAGGCCCACTGCATGCAGGGGGTGATGATCCCCTCGCTCTCCACAGCCTGTCCTCCTGGTTTCCTGTGATGTGAAACCACCTCGGTTCACCCACATGTGACAGGGGAGGGGCAGAGCAAAAGAGTTGCCCCTTAGCCACTTCATCTGAGAGCATGCATCCATGGGTTGGTTTTTTCCCCTCATGTTTATTAGATTTAAATCCACTGTGCAAGCAAGTTACAAATAAGACATTTCTACAGGCTAGTTTCTTGAATGGTATTAAAATAAGCATGGTAGGTCAGTGTCTTAGCTGCAAACAATGGCTGGCCAGCTGGTGGATCCAGCCTTTGAGGATTCCTCCTGTATAAGGGGGGATTCCCTGGGCATAGCAACTGTAGGTCACCCCTTATCCCCACCCAGAGCAGGGGTGTTCCAAGGAAAAGGAGGCATGTCTAGGGTATCCCTATGCCCTGGCGTTCCCTGGCTGCCAGAACAATCACTTGGAGCAAATGGCAGCAAGGCCTGAACTAAAACAATATATTCTAACTTATGCTGAGGGCCACCTCCAGGTCTGGAGGAGCATAAAAGTGTCTTAAAGCCACCTTTGCAGCACCTCCCCTCCTGCTCTTGTGCCAAGCCCAGCTCAGGCAGATCAGAGAATCCAGCTACATTCCCGATGGTAAAACTTCTAGGGTGCCTAACTATGCACCTCAGTGGAGCCAGGATTTTTCATCCTTAATGTTTGTTAAGGAGGCTTTGTCTTTATACCTGTTCCTCCCCAGTGAGTGTGTGTATTTTCAGGCATACTCTGTGCAACACGGAATAAAACCATTGCGTTCATTTCCAAAATCCTCAAACCCAGAAAGCAAAACTGAACAAACTAGAGTGGATTCCGTATTCCAGCTTTGTCCCTAACTACAAGGACTGGTGAACAGCTTTGCTCCAACCACTGTGCAGACTATGCTCTGCTGCAACAGGAGGCAGCAACAAAACAGCAGCCATTCTTCTCAGAAACTGTAATAAACCAAGTAGAAAAGCCAGTTAAGCTTCTGCTGCTCCAAGACAGACTCTAATTAGGGCTGGGAGAACCTTAAAAAGTTCTACATTCCAATCCAGCTCAACATAGATAAGTACCATGCTCCTACTTAAAATTCACCCTAGATACACCGCTACCTCGATATAACGCGACCCGATATAACACGAATTCAGATATAACGCGGTAAAGCAGTGCTCCCAGGGGGTGGGACTGCACACACCAGTGGATCAAAGCAAGTTCAATAGAATGCAGTTTCACCTATAATGCGGTAAGATTTTTGGTTCTCGAGGACAGCGTTATATCGAGGTAGAAGTGTAGTTTTAATTAGATACAATGAGCCAAATTCTGCTCTTAGTCACACATGTCCAATCCCACTGACTTCAGTAGGGTTGCACACTTTCAAGAATGGGCCAAATTGTGCTCTCTATTCTTCACTTGCTATTCTACACTCTAGGTTAATGTTGTTGAGCACTATTAAACAATGTCCATGTTTCACACCAGAGGTGAGCGTATTTCAGTAGGTGGTGAAATTATTCTTGTCCTATAATTAACCAAAGGTTGGTTAGATCCCTTGAAAGTACTGGGCACCGTGCATGACCTCACTCTTCCCCCTCTTTTGGCATCTTGGTCCACACAGAGGAGCAGGAGCAAGCGTTTTGCTGTACTCTTCAGAGTCCAGAGACTGCTATTGTGGGAGACTCTTGCAAAGCTACATAAGGATAGGGGAAATTTCTTACATTGGCCTACACACAGGCTGGTGATGGTCTGGCCCTACTGCATTTATCAGTCTAACATATCAGGCTCCAACTTTTCTAAAAGTTCGGCTTGATGAAAGAAAATAGCCCTAAATCTCACACATTGTTGGTTTGTCATAAGAAAAGACTGGGGTGGGCCAAATCCCGGATTGTTTCCTCTCCTTTTAGTCAGTGGTTACTAAGGTAAAACTCCCACTCAAGTCAATAAAGGAGTCGGAACATGGACTTAAGGATTTGACATATTTTTCTTTTCTAGCACTTTAACATAGAACATTGTATCTTGTAGCAAGCAACAGCAATGCAAGGGTTATTGACATTTTTCATGGTAATGTATATAAAAATGAGGGGAGGGGAGAAAGCCCAAAAATAGGCATGCCAAAAACTTAAAGGCAAATGACTTAACATATAGTTATTTTACTGAATATAAAATTAAAAGTTCTAGGCCCAGTTTCTACTCAGACTAAACACTTTAATGCAAGGTTGCAAAATTCAATTCATTCCCTCATATAGTGGGAGCATTTTTTTAATGGACTAGTAAAATATCATCTGCCCCTCCACTCCCCCAGAAGTCTCCCATCCCAAATGGGGCTAAAATGAAGACTGTGTCAAGTAAAAAATGAATACATCTCTGAGGAAGACTAACAATATTCAACACCAACCCCATGTCAGAAAACAGGTAGGATAAGGGGCATACTCACATGTGGAGCCATGCATATGTTATGTCCCTAGCAGAACAGTCTGAAATTGAACTCCTCAAGGCCCATGATTTCATGTTGGAAGCTTGTGACAAGTACAATTTAACACCCATATGTCTCATGTGAAAATGTACCAAAGCTGCTCATGCAGACACGTCAAGATTCTTCTCTCAGCAGAAAGACACTCAAAAATAGATGAATGTGCAGCCAATGAAACAGTCATACCCCAGTGAGGAATTCATTGGAGAGAGTGATGTGAGACACTGCTGAATACCATACTATGACAAATACCATCAGCCACATGACCATTTCCATTTGGGAGGTAGGTGGCAACATGACAGGCATGTCAGTGAAGTGACCTTCGGTATGTATTAAGGTATGTGCATCTTAGGCATTTTTAGAGTGCCAGTCACCATAGCAACTACGAGTCTGAGATTTCTTCATTATCTATTGCTGCTCATTACTGCTTACATGCAGGAAAGTGCTATGTAAATTTCTCTCTTTTTCTGAGAAACATACTTGAGAAGATAGTAATTAAGAAGCTATGGCAATACCTGCAGTCTTCAGTTTCCTTTGACCCTGGTCAGTCTGGTTTTAGGCCTGTGTATGGGACAGAAAGTGCATTGATGACATTGGTTGATGATCTCCTCCCAGCACGTTTATGCTGATTTTATTAGATCTGTCAGCTGCCTTTAATGCAGTTGATCATGAGGTGTCATTGGCATGTGTGAGGGCCCTGCCAAGAGGGTGTGGAACCACTTGGAAGTGGCATCGCCACTTCTTATACAGAAGGTAATTATGGGCAATTATTCCTCCACCCTACGGACTCTCTCGTACAGGACACCACAGGATTCTGCTCTGTCTGTCCTCTTGTACGTGATGAGGCTTCTGGGAGAATTAGTAAATAGACATGGTCTACAGCAGGGATCTCAAATATGCGGCCCGCAAGCTCTTCCCTGCAGCCTGCCAAGCTCCCTGCGCTCCCCCCCCCCCCACGTTACTTCCTGTTGCTGTCAAACTCCCCTCACCCCCCCCCCGGCAGCTAAGCTCCTCGGGCACTGCTCCCCAATGTTTGGGGCCGGGTCTCTCCCCCGGCCCCACCTGCCGCCCACACACACCTCCCCCGAGTGTCCCCTGGCCTCATTTGCTGCCCCCTCACCGCCCGGAGCCTGCAGCTCATGCTGACTCCGATCCGCTCTGTCGGCTTCCGGCATCACCTGCTGCCGCAGGGTTCTAGTGCCCCTCTCCACTAAGGCCAGGGCACTGCCCTTCCCCTGCCCTAGTCCTGAGCCTCTCCAATGCCCCAAATCCCTCATCCCCAGCCCTCACCCCTGCACCCCCTCCTATCCCCAAACTCCATCCCAGAGCCTGCACCCCCACCCCATGCCCCAGCCTGGAGCCTGCACCCAGCACCCAAACTCCCTCCCAGAGTCTGCACCCCAGACCCTCTCCCCCATCCAAGCACGCTCCCAGATCCTCAGGCAGCTGGTTGTTTGAGT